TTCCAGCCAAGATGGAGGCGTAGGTAGACACACTGTGCCTCCTTGCACAACCACAATAAGGACAACAACAATTTAGAAACAAACAACCAGAACTGACAGAAAATTGAACTGTATAGAAGTCAGACAACCAAGGAGTTCAAATAGACACATTCATCCAGACCGTTAGGAAGGGTGGAGTCCCACAGCCCGGTGGAGAGGGGTCACAGTAAAAAAGGCAGTGGCACCCGGCATGCAAAGCATCCCAGGTGCGCAAGACCTCAGTAAGCGGACCCTGGGCTCGGGGTGGCAATGGGCAGACCCAGTAAGGCACTGCGTGCAAAGCAGCTGGCTGACTGGGCGGTCCCACATTTGCAGGCAGATAAACCAAGTGAAACTGGGGAGCCAGACAGACGGCAAAACCCAGGGTCCCAGCACTAGAAAATAGAGCCCTGGGGCACCGAATGAAAACACCTGTGGAGGATGAGGCGCAGGGAGACTCCCAACCTCACAGGAGAGTTTGTTGGAGAGACCCACAGGTTCCTGGAATATACACAAGCCAACCCACCGAATCAGTATCAGAAGGGCCCAGTTTGCTTGGGGGAAGTGGCAGAAGGGACTGAAATCTGACAGAGAGCAGAGCAAGCACCACTATTCCCTCTCGAACCCTGCCCCCACATATAGCATCACAACCCAGCAACTGGGCTGCCCCGCCCTGGTGAACACCTAAAGCTCCACCTCTCACTACATAACAAGTGGAACAAAACAAAACAAAAAAAATGGCCCAAATGGAAGAATTGATCAAAGCTCCACAGCAAATACAACTAAGCAACCAAGAGATAGCCAACCTATCAGATGCACAGTTCAAAGCACTGGCAATCAGGATGCTCACAGAACTGATTGAATTTGGTTGCAAATTAGATGAAAAACATGAAGGCTACGCTAAGTGAAATGAAGAAAAATGTACAGGGGACCAATAGTGATGAGAAGAAAACTGGGACTCAAATCAATGGAGTGGACCAGAAGGAAGAAAGAAACAACCAAATAGAAAAGAATGAAGAAATAAGAATTCAAAAAACTGAGGAGAGGCTTAGGAACCTCCAGGACATCTTGAAACGTTCCAAGATCCGAATTATAGGGGTATCAGAAGGGGAAGAGGAAGAGCAACAAGTGGAAAACTTATTTGAACAAATAATAAAGGAGAACTTCTCCAATCTGGCAAAGGAAATAGACTTCCAGGAAGTCCAGGAAGCTCAGAGAGTCCCAAAGAGGTTGGACCCAAGGAGAATACACCAAGGCACATTATAATTACCTTAGCCAAAATTAAAGATAAGGAGAGAATCCTAGAAGCAGCAAGAGATAAGGAGACAGTCACCTACAAAGGAGTTCCCATCAGACTGTCAGCTGATTTCTCAAAAGAGACCTTGCAGGAAAGAAGGATCTGGAAAGAAGCATTCCAAGTCATGAAAAGCAAGGACCTACATCCAAGATTGCTCTATCCTTCATTTAGAATGGAAGGGTAGATAAAGTGCTTCTCAGATAAGGTCAAGTTAAAGGAGTTCAGAATCACCACGTCCTTATTCTATGAAATATTAAAGGGACTTATCTAAGAAAAAGAAGATAACAAACATATATAGTAAAATGACAGCAAACTCACAATTATTAACAAGCACACCTAAAATAAAAACAAAAAGAAACTAAGCAAACAACTAGAACAGGAAGAGAACCACAGAAATGGAGATCACATGGAGGGTTAGCAACTGGGGAATCGGGGGAAGAGAGAGGGGGGAAAAGGTACAGAGAATAAGTAGCATAGATGGTAGGCAGAAAATAGACAGGGGGAGGGCAAGAATAGTATGGGAAATGTAGAAGCTAAACAACTTATGACTCATGGACATAAACTAAAGGGGGGAATGTGGGTAGGAGGGGGTGTGCAGGGTGGAGGGGAGTGAAGGGGGAAAATGGGACAACTGCAATAGCATAATCAATAAAATATATTTAAAAAAACAGTTCCATTTAAAACAGCATCAAACAATAAAATAATTAGGAATAAATTTAACAGAAGTGTGAAACTCCTATTCTGAATAGTACAAAAAACACACTGATGAAGTAAATTAAAGAAGACCTAAGTAAATGGAAAGAAATCCCATGTTCATACATCAAGACTTAAAATTGTTAAGATGGCAACATTTCCTATATTGATGTACAAATTTAATGAAATCCCTATCAAAATTCTATCTAGTTTTTGGAAACTGGCAAGATAATGCTAAAATTCATGGCTCAGAATAACAAAACAATCATGAAAAAGAACAAAGGTGGAGGCCTCACATTTCCTGGTTTCAAAACTTACTGTAAAAAATAAAGTTAAAATTAAAAGTACTTACTGTAAGGCTACAGAAATCAAGGCAGTATGGAACCAGCATACATATAGACATACAGATCAATGAAATACGATTAAAAATCCAAGCTAGAAAAAACAATTCAATGAAGGAAAGAATAGTCTCTACAATAAAATGTGCTGGGAGACCTGAATATCCACATGCAAACAAATGCAGCTGGATCTATATAACACCTTATCCACAGAATTAAGTCAAATGGATCAAAGACCTAAATGTAAGAGCTAAGCTACAAACCTCTTAGAAGACAGTACAGAGTCAGGCAAAGTTCAAATGTTATTTAAGAAGGGGCATCTAGGGAAACTCAAAGACAACAGGGAGACAAAAACAAGACATTAGAGGAGAGTTTAGCCTCTGATACTTACAGCTACAGTAAACACTAAACAGCCTAACTCCTAGTCCAATTAACAAAAAACTTCACACTATTCACCTTAATTCCTTTTGTCCAATGTATCATGTCTGGCTTTCAGCAAAAAATTAAAAGACAAGCCAAAGGTAAAAGCAGTTTGAAGAGGCAGAGCAAGTGTCAGAACCAGACTCAGATACAGTGCAAACATTGCAAATATCAGAACAAAATTTTAAAATAACTACAACGAATATGCTAAGGTCTCCAATGGAAAAACTAAACAACATGTAAGAACAGATGGGTAACATTAGCAGAGAAATGGGAACTCTAAGAAAGAATAAAAAGGAAATGCAATATATCAAAAAATCACTTAAACAGATGAAAAATGCATTTGATGAGCATATCAAACTGGACATGTCTGAGGAAGGAATCAGTGAGTTCAAAGACATGTCAACAGGAACTTGCAAACTGAAAAGCAAAAAGAAAAAAAAAAGAGAACCAAAACCCACAGACTATCCAAGAATATGGGATAACTGAAAGCAGTAACACACACACAGTGGGAATTTCAGAAGAAGAGAAGAAAAAGAAACAGCAGAAATATTTGAAGTACAAATGACTGAGAATTTTTTCAAAATTAATGACAGAACCAAACCACAGCTCCAGGAAGCTCACAACACCAAGCATGATGAATACAAAAAAATCTGTATCATATTCAAACTGCAGAAAATCAAAGACAAAGAAAAAAAACCTTGGAATAAACCAAAGAAAAAGAAAACACCTCACCTACAGAGGAACATGAGTAAGAAATATACCAGACTTCCCTTCAGAACCATGCAAGTAAGACTCAAGTGGAGTGCAACAATAGGTCCTACAATATTCCCTTGTAGAAGGGAATCCTGTTCAATCAGACACTTGCTAGTATAGATACTACCTCCTTTGGATGCTCACAGGAAAGTCAATTAAAAATTATACTGTGTTACAAGAAACCTCTCACAAGTTTCTGTGTCACAGTTCCTCAGGTCACAACAGATCTTGGCCCAAGAGGAAACCAATTCTCAGAAATTTTTTGCACTCCCAAAATGTACTAGTTCTATACATTTGGTATGCATAATGATGTGTAAAATAGTAAAAACTTTGAGATATTAAACTGACTGGGGAGTTGAGCCACTACTGTATGTTTACCCATTTCTTACTCCTATGCAAGATCTTAATAAACAATTATGACTTTTAAAAATATAGAAAAAACAATAGGTTACAATAGTGATTCTGAAATTTGAATGTACTGAATAATCATGTGACAAGTCCCAGAAAATGTGATTAAACAAGTCTGAGTTAGGGTCTGGAATCTGTCCTTTGTATTTTCTGACAAGCAGTTGAGTAATCTAGATGTGGATCCATAGACATAATAGTCCCAGGAACAACTATGAAAAGGCTAGGGATCTCAGTGACCTATGATTCTTTACAGGATCGATTTGCTGTGTAAGAAATGCTCAAGAGTACACATGTGTTTAGCCTAACTTTAGCCAGTATTATCCTACTGATTAAAACAACCTTGGTCAGAATTCCTTCTAATGCACAGGCTGTTGATCATCAAAACACTGAATGAGCCCCTATCTTGATGGGCTATTGAGGGCTATCTAGATGGGCTATCTTGATGGGCTATTTACAGAAGATAACGGACAGGGACAGCATGAAAAAATCTGGATCACTAAGTGCATGCTCAATCGACAGAAGTAGTTAAGTTAAATAATTACCCCATCCACAGATACCCATGTACTAACCCCTGGAACCTTAAAAGAGGCAATGTTACACGGCAAAATAAAATTAAAGTTGCAGATAGAACCAGAATTCCGAATCAAATGACCTTAAGATACAGAGATAATCCTGGGTTACCAGTGAGCCCGTGTACTCATGAGGGTGCTTGAGAGGCAGAACAGGGAGGCAGGTCAGAATCTAGACTGGCCACTGCTGGCTTTCAAGGTAGGAGGGGACACGAGCCAAGGAAAGAGGGCAGTCTGGAAGCTGGAAGAGCAAGGAAACCCACTCTCCCCTAGAGTCTCCAGAAGGACTGCAACACAGCTGATACCTTGATTTTAGTCCAGGGAGACCCATATTTCAAACTTTTGACCTCCAGAGCTGTTAAGATAATACATTTTGTTGTTCTAAGCCACCAAGCCTGTGGCAATTTATTACAGTAGCAATAGGAAATTAATGCATAAGGTAACAAATTACCTGCCCCGTCCACCCCCCCCCCCCACCACAAAACAACTAGATTTTCTTACCTGTATCCATTGGTCGTTCTGCATTTAAACTGTCTGTGCTGCCCTGATATCCACCTAGAGGTGTCTTTACTTGTTGATCAGATAATTTCCCAGTACTGACAGATCTAAAAAGAAGAGTGATATTAATAATGAAAAAGTATACTTAAAAAAACTCCAGACCTTTAAATAATAAGGATTTGAGCCAAGCCATAAAAGGGTTAGTGGGAAGTCAAAGAACAAGACAAAAAAAAGATACCAAACAATTCAAGGTAGAGATAAACTTCATTAACCCAAATAAAAGACAGAAATAGAATATTCAGGAAATTCAGAGCTCTGTATTTATAGTTAAAGAAAGCATCTATGGAGGACTTCCGGCCAAGATGGAGGCGTGGGTAGACACAGTGTGCCTCCTCGCACAACCAAAACTAAGGACAACAAAAATTTAGAAACACAAAAGCAACCAGAACAGAGAAAAATGAACTGTACAGAAGTCTGACAACCATTCACCCAGACCTGTAAGGAGGCGCGGAGTCAGAGGCCTATAGAGAGGGGTCGAGGGGCCCCGGGAGGAAAAAGTGGTGGCTGGCAGACGTGGGTGCAAAGGGTGCAGGCAGCAGTTGGCTGACCCCAGGCGCAGGGGCAGCTGACAGACCTGGTGGCAGACCCTGGGAGCGGGAGGCAATGAGCAGACCCAGTGAGATGCGCAAGGCAGCTGGCTGTCCCCAGTCACACATTCGAGCGCAGATAAACTAGGCGAAAACAGGCAACGACACAGACCGTGCAACCCAGGGCCTCAGCGCCAAGAAATAAAACCTAAAAACACCGATTGAAAACACCTGTGGGGCTGAGGCTGGAAGAATCTCCCAGCCTCACAGGAGAGCTCCTTGGGGAGACCCACAGGGTTCTAGAAAGTACACAAGCCCACCCGCCCGGGAGCCAGCACCAGAAGGGCCCAATCTGCTGGTGGGAAGCGGCAGAGGAGACTGAAGTCCAATGGAGGAGATGCCATTGTTCCCTCTCAGACCCTGCCCCCACATACAACATCACAACCCAGCGACTGGGGTGCCCTGCCCTGGTGAACACCTAAGACTCCGCCCCCTCATACGTATCAGGCTCGACAGACCAAAGGGAGGAGGGGGGAAGATGGCTCAAACAGAACTGAAAGCTCCGCAGTCTTTACTTTTAAGCAGCCGAGATAGCCAACCTATCAGATGCACAGTTCAAAGCACTGGCAATCAGGATGCTCACAGAACTGGTTGAATTTGGTTGCAAATTAGATGAAAAAATGAAGCCTATGCTAAGTGAAATGAAGAAAAATGCAGAGGGGACCAGTAGTGATGAGAAGAAAACTGGGACTCAAATCAGTGGAGTGGACCAGAAGGAAGAAAGAAACAACCAAACAGAAAAGAATGAAGAAATAAGAATTCCAAAAAACTGAGGAGAGGCTTAGGAACCTCCAGGACATCTTGAAACGTTCCAAGGTCCGAATTATAGGGGTATCAGAAGGGGAAGAGGAAGAGCAACAACTGGAAAACTTATTTGAACAAATAATAAAGGAGAACTTCCCCAATCCGGTGAATGAAATAGACTCCCAGGAAGTCCAGAAAGCTCAAAGAGTCCCAAAGAACTTGGATCCAAGGAGGAACACACCAAGGCACATCATAATTACATTGGCCAAGGTAAAAATGAAGGAGAATTCTAGAAGCAGCAAGAGATAAGGGGACAGTCCTACAAAGGAGTTCCCATCAGACTATCAGCTGATTTCTCAAAAGAGACCTTGCAGGAAATAAGGGGCTGGAAAGAAGTATTCCAAGTCATGAAAGGCAAGGACCTACATCCAAGATTGCTCTCTCCAGCTAAGCTTTCATTTAGAATGGAAGGGCAGATAAAGTGCTTCTCAGATAAGGCCAAGTTAAAGGAGTTCATCATCACCAAGTCCTTATTTTATGAAATGTTAAAGGGACTTATCTAAGAAAAAGAAGATAAAAAATATGAACAGTAAAAAAAAAGACATCAAACTCACAGTTATTAACAACCACACCTAAAACAAAAGCAAACTAAGCAAACAACTAGAACAGGAACAGAACCACAGAAATGGAGATCACATGGAGGGTTAGCAACAGGGGAGTGGGGGGGGAGGAGAGGGGGAAAAGGTACAGAGAATAAGTAGCATAGATGGTAGGTAGAAATAGAAAGGGGAGGGCAAGAAAAGTATGGGAAATATAGAAGCTAAACAACTTATGACTCATGGACATGAACTAAAGGTGGGGAATGTGGGTGGGAGGAGGTGTGCAGGGTGGAGGGGAGTGAAGGGGGAAAATGAGACAACTGTAATAGCATAATCAATAAAATATATTTAAAAAAGCATCTACGGTTTTCAGACATTATAAATGTACACAGTTCATATCCAGCTACTAAACTAATTTAATCTGTTGCTTTTATAATAGAAATAAACATACAATTACAGTTTTCATGTTGAACACTGGAAGGAAATGGGGTCTTTTACCTGCCAAACACAGCCTTGCTCTGCTGCTCAGCCTTCTGCCTCTCACTTCCTTGTGCTAAGAGACAATGAGAGCATTCTCGTGGGTCACTCCCATCTTTAGACTGTCCTTCAGGAGGCCCGTGACGAGGAGCCAGGGCTAGCAGGTTGGAAGATGCTTGTGTTTTAGGGATTTTGAAAGGAGCTATGGTCTAGAGAAACACAGGTAAGCTAGTTATTAGGAGGTATAGTGCTCAGTCTTGCCAGGCTGTGTGGCCCAGCAGTCAGGAGGAAACTCTGGAGTCCGTCAGACCTGGATTTAAATACTGGCTCTTCTACTTACAGCCTCTACAACTGTGGACAGTTCAGTGGAATAATGTCTATAAAGCATTCAGCAAGTACACAGAGCCTACATGTGCCTGGCACACAGCAAGTGCTCATTAAACTGTAGCTCTTCGCTTCATGAATCCTTTCCATAAAGTACTTACTATACTGGTTCATGACCTACTATAGAGAGTTCAGCTAAGCTACTCCATGGTATTGCACCTCCACATCCATTCTGCTTGGCCAAGTTGGCTATAGGGACCTTAATCTGACCCCAGCCCACTTGCAAGCACACAACCTAGATGGCAGTCCACAGCATCACAGCAAATGTAAGCTCCTAAGGTGATTCCCCGCCTCCCAGGATCTTCCCCGTCCACCCATTAGATCAGACCCCATGGAGCTTACCAGAACCCTGCCCTTTTGGTTTGAAATGACTGATCCAGTCTTAGCCAGGAACCCCACAACACTCCACCCATGAAGACCATGTGCACAGGTCTAGGTGCTGTCTCTCCCTGTCTGAGCCCTGTCTGCACTTCCCTGGACGCCCTCCTCCTGTCTCAGGGTGTGCAGGGTTTTTCTTTCAGGACCTGTGAGGAACAAACCTCTATTTCAATTTCTCTCATGGTCTGTCATGGAACCTTAGACCTCTATCTGGGACTCTGTGCTTCACTTTGCCAATGTTAATTTAACCAAGTCGTAACACTTGCAAAGGGTTTAATAAACACACCTTAGTAGGAGAGCCAATGATTGTTGGTAAAGGGGTTTTAAAGAACCAGTCGGACCCCCGTGGAGAGGACCCAGTGTGTTTGGTGGGAGAAGTCCCAAGGCTGCCAGGCCGGCCAGGCTGAGGTGAGCCACTGTGTGTGGCCCCCATGTGGGCTGGGCACACAGGGTCTGAGTGCTGCTTCCTCAGCTTCTGCTTGTTCTGGTGGGTGTCAGTGAGGATGGGAGCGCTTGGCAGCCTGGCCCCCAGTAGGAAGGACTGCGGTGACTGCGCCTGCAGCCCTGAAGAACCTGCCAAAGACATGGGTGCAGCGTTTACCCAAAGTGAAGAAGTATAGGGCAAAAACGTAAGAATTAAGAAGACAGTTCCTCAAATCAGAATTCCAATGTATGTCTTATTTTTCATGTGATATTCTAAAAGTGTTTACTTGGCAGGACACTATTTTTTGGCATCCTTTATAAAACAGTGACACTGTCATTGGAATTCTCAGGAGATCATAGATGTTTTTACCAGCAGCTAGCAAATAACTCAAATTAATGTAAGGTCTAATCAAACCCAACAAAAACTATATAGTAAATGGTTAAAGTTAATAAAAACAACAAAACCTACAATAAACAAGATGATCTGTCCATTTATATAAACACATACTTAAGTATATCAATGTATTATTCCCTTTTCTCACATTGCAACTAAAATAAACTTTTCAAACTAACCCAGAAAAAACCCTTATTTTTAAAAAATGTATAAAGTATAAGAAAGACAATTAGAAAGTACACCTTTCCTGAATTTTGTTTAAATATAACAAGCTGATGGATAATTTGTTGTCAATTTCATTAATGAAATTCATTTAAAAACATAAAGTATCCGAATTCTCTACAAAGAAAATACTTGTCCACAGATATTCTTGACCCTTCAGGGGATATGATATGAAGGGCGTGGGAGACAGTCTTATACGCTGCACACTTGGCAACAATAGGGGAACTGACCCACACAAACTTGTTGTCAACTTAAGGTTCACTAAGCCTTGAGCTCCAGTTACACATACATTCTTTGGCACTTCCTGCAAGCCAAACTACCACCAAGAACATTAAGAACATACAAATCTTGTTAGTGATCTATAACCATAATCTTTACAAAAACGAACACCAATAGGAATTTTTCCTACTACTGGCTACTCTTGGTTTAATCTCATCCTAAATTTGATATTCAAATCTTTCAGAACAGGGTTTGGCCAAACCCACCCACAGACACACACATATATGCATGCATATATGTGTATATTCATATACACACAAATATTGAAAATTATTGGCAAAATGCTATGTCTGGAGAAAGCTAAGTTTTATACTCTCCTGAGTAACACAGAATTCCTTTAACTGACCAACTCCTCAAATACGCATACAATAAGTTTTGACTTTTAAAAGTATAATTTAGCCCTGGCTGGTGTGGCTCAATGGATTGAGCACCAGCCTGCAGACCAAAGGGTGGAAAGTTTGATTCCCGGTCAGGAACACATGCCTGGGCTGCAGGCCAGGTCACAGTTAGGGGCACACCAGAGGCAACCACACGCTGATGTTTCTCTCCCTCTCTTTCTCCCTCCGTTCTTCTTTCTCTTAAAAATAAATAAAATCTTTTTAAAAAGTATAATTTACACATACCTTGGGAGGCATATGTTATATAATAAAGCAAATAAATGTTTCTTTTTTATTTGATGCTAACTGGTAGCTCTTAACAAGAATATTATTAATCGGCCCTGGCTGGTATGGCTCATTTGGTTGGAGCATAGTCCCATAAACCAAAAGGTCACAGGTTCCATTCCTGGTGAGGGCACATGCCTAGGTTGCAGGTTTGGTCACCAGTCGGGGAGCTTATAAAGAGGCAACCTATCAATGTTTCCTTCTCACATCAATGTTGCCCTCTCTCTCTCTCCCCATCCACCTCTCTTAAAATCAATAAGCATGTCCTCAAGTAAGGATAAAAAAAAACCAGTATTAATCCAAGTAACAGATTTTCATCCCCTTGAATGATTTTCATGATCTGTGTGACAATGACCAAAATCTAGTTAAGGTACTTAATTCCTAGGATTTATTTTCATAACAGAATCATATACCCAAAAAGAGATATTCTACTGCCTGACTGCTAAAACATAATGAACAAGATTCTAAAAAACAGGACAGGTGAGAAAATACTTCATACCAATTCTATTCTTTTAATAAGACCAGAAAAATATAACTCAAATCCACCTGTAACAGGCTTAAAATTATGACTGTACCAAATACACTTCCTACCTGATGAGTTTCGGCTCCTGGATTCATGACCCTGAGGATATCCACAGCAGCACTGGCTGAAGTGCTCAGGAATGGTACCAACTGTAAAGAGGGAAATGGGAAGAGGGGAATGATTCAAAGCCAGTAAAGAACAAAAACAGGCAACACATGCACAAATTGCACAGTATGATATAGTTTACAAATTTAATTAGCAAAGATTTAGTCTGCTAACACAGACTAAGTAATCACTGTACTGGGTACTGGGTACACAAAGATAAAAAAAAGTACCTATGATCTGCCTTAAAACAAGATCAGTAGGAAAGAGAGTCATGTAAACAAATCAATGCCTGTAACATACAAAGAGTTTGTACACACTGTGTGGGGCTTGTGGAGCTGACCAGCAGAACAGCTACTGTCCCTCTGAGCTACCATGTTCCTACTGCAGCATGCTCCTCAGGACTGTACCCAGTCACTAACTGCATGTGGTCGAGGCACTAATTCAGGCCTATTCAAGCAGGTCAGGAAATGTGAACAACTTAGTGCTCAGGACACTCCTTCAGCCTGGCTGAAATCTTCTTAGAATTCGCTATAGTCAGGACTCCTCTTTCCTTCCTCTCACCCTTATGGAGGTCACATCTGCATGGTGGACTGAATGGCTCCCTGTCAACTCCTGCTTCCTCCCCTTTGTCCATCACTGATTTCCCCAATCTCTCTTTCACACATGTCTGCACCTACCTTCTTTGTATGTAGCTCTAAGAACACAAACCAACAAAAAAGGAAAATTGGGGAAGACTTAAGGCAGTTTAAGTAGACAAGAGACATGTAAGATTTGTCCAGAAAAAGTCCAACCATTGTTAATATAATGAGAATGGCCCTGGCTGGTGTGGCTCAGTGGACTGAGTACTGCCAGCCAGCAAACGAAGCAATCGAAGGGTCGCCAGTTCGATTCCCAGTCAGGGCACATGCCTGGGTTGCAAGGCAGATCCCCCGTTGGGGGCGTGCAACAGGCAACCACACATTGATGTTTCTCTCTCTCTGACCCTCTGTCTAAAAGTAAATAAGTAAATCATTAAAAATATATATAATGAGAATGGTTTATATGACACGGATGCTACCTGGCAGCCACAGAAAGTGGATTGGAATGCACATGTGTGAACAATGACGACTTTACTATAACAGTCAGTGAAGGCAGTAGATGCCACTGAGTGAGCATGGGTCACATTCAAAATGACTGAGCAAGTAGAACAACAAATCTGCATCAAATTTTGTGTTAACTTGAACATTCCTCCACAGAAACTATTTATATGAGTCAGAAGGCTGCAGCAATGGGAAGCTGGTGACTGACAGCTTCATCATGCCAGCCTGAGAACTAAAAAGTCTCTGGTTCTATTCTCAATCAGGGCATATGCCTGGGTTGTGGGTTGGGTCTCCAGTTGGGGACATGTGAGAGACCACTAATCGATGTTTCGCTCGCACATCGATGTTTCCCTTCCTTTCTCCTTCCCTTCCCCTTCCCTCCAAAAATAATTAAAAATAAAATCTAAATAAAAAGAACAATTACAGGGAAACAACAGTAGAGTGGATTACGCTGAGAACCACATAATGTTTTGGAACATAAGGAAGCAAAAAACAACCAAGCAGAACAACAAGAAGAAGAGAATCTAAAAAGCATGAGGATAGCGTAAGCAGCCTCTGGGACAACTTCAAGTGTTCCAACATTTGCATCATAGAGGTGCCAGAAGGAGAAGAGAAAGGGCAAGAATCAGAAATCTATTGGAAAAAATAATGAAAGGAAACTTCCCTAATTTGGTGAAGGAAATAGACATGCAAGTCCAGGAAGAACAGAGAGTCCCAAACAAGATGGATACAAAGAGGCCCACTCCAAGACACATCATAATTAAAATGCCAAAGGTTAAAGATAAATTGAGAATCTTCAAAGATGCAAGAGAAAAGCAGTTACTACAGTGGAGTTCCTATGAGACTGTCAGCTGAGTCCTGGATTGTGTGGCTCAGGGGACTGAGTGCTGGCCTACGAACCAAAAGATTACCAATTAGATTCCTGGGTCAGGGGACATGCCTGGGTTGCAGGCCAGGTCCCCAGTTGGGGGCATGCAAGAGGCAACAAATCGATGTATCTCTCGCATACCAATGTTTCTCTCCCTCTCTTTCTCCCTTCCTTTCCCTCTCTCTAAAAATAAATAAAATAGCTCTGGCTGGTGTAGCTTAATGGATTGAATGCAGGCTACAAACCAAAGGGTCACTGCTTCAATTTCCAGTCAGGGCACATGCCTGGGTTGTGGGCCAGGACCCCAGTAGGGGGTGCGCAAGAGGCAACCACACACTGATATTTCTCTCCCTCTCTTTCTCCTTCCCTTCCCCTCTGCCTAAAAATAAATAAATGAAATCTTAAAAAAATAAAAATAAAATCTTTAAAAAAGAAAGACTGTCAGCTGATTTCTCAAAAGAAACTTTGTAGACTAGAAAGGATTGGCAAGAAATAAGCAAAGTCATAAAAAGCAGGGATCTATAGCTAAAATTACTCTACCCAGCCAAGCTATAATTTAGAATTAAAAAGCAGGTAATGAGCTTTCCAGATACAAAAAGGAGTTCATCATCACCAAAACATTATTACATGAATTATTAAAGGGACCTATTTAAGAAAAAGATCAAAACTATGAACAATAAAATGGCAATAAATACACATCTATCAATCTAAAAAACAAACTAAGCAAAAAAGAACAGAAACATAATCATGGATGTGAAGAGCATTTTGACGGTTGCCAGATGGGAGAAGGGTTTGGAGGAATGGGTCTGAAGAGATGAGGAAATTAAGAAGTTTAAATAGGTAGTTACAGAAGAGCCATGGGAATATAAAGTACAGTATAGGAAATGGAGTAGCCAAAGAAAATACTCATGACCAATACACATGAACAAGGGTGTGGGGATTGCCTGAGGGAGCAGGGAGTATGGTGTAGAGGGAGGCAAAGGGGGAAAAATCAGGACAACTGTAATAGCATAATCAATAAAATATAATTTAAAATAAAAAAATAATGAACCCAAATCTGAAATAAAAAATAAAAAGAGCTTCAAGACCATCTGGAACAGGTGATGTTCCAATACTAACTTAAAAAAAATAAACGTTATCATTGTGGTTTTTTTGTTTTGTTTTGTTTTGAAATCAGGGCTTCTGAACACTGCTTCAATCCTTCTTGCTCTACCTCCTCCCAAGATTTCTTTCTGTTCCCTGTGAGTCCTACAGCAGCAGTTCTGGCATATTGTAAATACAGTGGTCCTTCAGATCTCATCATTAATTCACTCCAGAACTTATGACGAGTGACAAACCTGACCAGTACCGAATGTAATGAGTGATGAAGCATTTTCTTTTGCAGGGCAGTGTTGTAACTCATACACGTTAGAGCAAGTGCAGTGAATCCTGAGCAAACACTGAGTGCTGAAACATTTTCTTTTCATCAAAATGCAGCGAGTACAGGGTTTAGCAAATTCTAAAGCCGACAAGTTACCAAGGTGTGCCTATGTGTGTATCTTTTTTTTTTTTTTTTCAATTTTGAGATCTGCCAGCACTGGGCCCTCTCAGTACTACCTTTCCTTCCCTACCTTATCAATGCTGTTTCTCACAAGTTCTGCTATCTTGGGTGCTCTGGCCTCTCTCCTATGTATTCTGAAGTTGAAGCATTTTCTTTTTCTCTTAGTTCACTAAAACTCTCCTTTGAGGTGTGTGTTTATGTTTGGTTGGGTTTTTGTTGTTTTGCTGTTTGCTTCTACTTTGTTTTAGCATTGTTGTTGTTGCTGTGCACGGTTTCCAGGAGAGGTGGGAACCTGTAACGAAGCTGTCATCCTTTTCCTCTTGGGGCTCTCCGACCATGGATAGATGCAGCACAGTGCTGCTATGTACACTATTGTCTTTTCAACCTCATAAATCTGAGTGTTATGTACTTAGGGTTTCTGACTTTGTATTTAGAGCCCAAACCCAATGGAGATACTTTTTATCCATAAGATCCTTTTGTATTATTATATTTCCAACAGACATCCTAGCAGATTAACACAGAGATTCTCAAGCGTGATCAGGAAGCAGGTATACTTGGAGGAGTGGGACATGGATTGAAATCAGCTGAGACTCACCGCCATTGTGAGCCAATGTTCCCAAAGAGAGTGTCATGTCAGATTTATCATAGTGAAAAAGGATGAAAACAATTGCTTTAAACTCTCCTTACCCAAAGGGGAAGGTGAATAAGGCCTGGAAGACCCAGTAGAGAGTCTTCGTCCGACTGTTTGCACTGTGTCTGCTGGCGCTGGGGAGCAGGATCCCACACGGAAAAAGCCCATTGGGCTGGTGTTAGACCTCCGTACCATTGCAGATCTGAAAAGAAAAATATAATGACTTCCTCTCTCATAGGTTCTATGGCTATTTCTGTATTTTCTCCTGAAACTTCCTAGAAATATGCCATGGAGTAGATATTTAAAAAAACATGTAACCCATGTGGTGATTGCAATGTGTGTGTGGGGGGGGGGCCTGCTGGGGTGGAGATAGAAGAGGGTCCAAGAGGATAAATGGTAATGGAAAAAAATACAATAAAAAACAATGTTAAAAAGGTAATACAGTTATATGCAACAAACATATAATTACATTTAGTGGTCTCCCTCTTACCCTTGCATCCTGTCTAATTCTCAACACTTCCGTAATCCTACTCAAAAGGTTACCACTGTTTTTGGTTTCTGATGTGCTTCTAGAGTTCTGTAATTCAAACACAAACTAAAAACTGAATATACAGCTGACCCCTGAACAACACAGATTTGAACTACACAGATCCACTTACATACAGATTTTTTTCAGTAAATACTGTAAATGTATTTTCTCAACAATATTTTCTTCTCTCTAGCTTACTTTATCACAAGAATACAGTAAATAATACATAAAACATACAAAATATGTGCTAATCGACTGTTTATATTATTGGTAAGATTTCTGGTCAACAGCAGGCTATTGGTAGTTAAGTTTTTGGGAAGTTGAATTTTTGACTACACAAGGGGTTGGTGCCCCTAAACCCTACACTGTTCCAAGGTGTGCTACATAATCATATTTTCATCTTGTTTTAACAAAGGTAATGTTATATAGAACAGCCATTTTCAATTTTGGGAGTCTTAGGTCCACATTACATTTAAATTGCTGAAGATCCCAGGAAGGTTTTGTTCATGCAGTTTGTGTCTATTGAAAACTGAGAATTTTTTGTAATTATCAGTTCATTAAAAGTATGCTTATTACATGTAACATAATTATGAAAAATAATTATATCTTCCAAAACAAAATAAATTAGTGAGAAGCATGGTATTATTGTATATTTTTGCAAATCTCTAATGCCTGGCAATAGGTGACAAGTGGATGCTCATAACCATTTCTACACAAAATCTATTACACCACATGAAGTACATGAAGGAAACCAGACTTACACAAATACTTAATTAGAAAGGGGAGGGATAGTTTGGTAGTCTTTTCAGATACTTTTCTTTGATACTAGATCAAAACTCAGCAAGTGGCCATTTCTAAAAGATTAGTCATGGTATGGAACCACCTCAGGGAAATTACGTACTCTGTTACATTAAATTCCATTCTTTGGCAAAGTATCTTGTCCTTGGAATAAATCTTTCATCCATGCATGAGTACTTTTAAACATGGTCATTTAGAAAATATTGGTTGACTGAGTTATGCAGATAATCCAAATGTTGACACATTATACGACATCAAAAAGTCACATTCATATCAAAATATCATCACCAGTCTTAACAGAAATGGCTGTCAATAGGTAACAGAAGCTGTAAAGTTCACAGTAGTGAATGGAAGTTTTCCAAAATTCTAATTTTTACCCAAGAGCTGATATTAATGTAACTTGTTTTCTTCTCCTTTTCTTTAAAAAAAACATTTATTTTTAGAGAGAGGGGAATAAAGGGAGGGAGAGACATCAATCAGCTGCCTCTTACCTGTGCCTTGACCAGGGACCAGCCCACCCAGGCATGTGCCTCAACCGGGAGTGGAACCGGAGGCCTTTTGGTTTGCAGGACAATGCCCAACCCACTAAGCCATACCAGTCTGGGCTATGTCACTTGTTTTCTCTGAAGTGACAGACTTAGTTGTCTTTGACAAAATGGCTGCCAACTACTCATAATCAGTTTTGTTCTTTCAAGTAAAAATGGTGTTCCATGAAAAAAGTGACTCCTTGGGCTTGCAACTAAAACAATCTTACAAGTGCTTTTCCTTAAAACAACTACTCCAATGTACAACAAAAGTGATTTATGCCAAGATTTACTGAAGATTTTCAAAGAAAACCAGTAATTTTTACTGCTGCTTTTAATTCCTTGGCACTGCAAGTGTATGATGGTAAAGAACAAAAATTTTAATAGAAAAAAAATTAGAAAGTTTTAAAATACCAGCTTACCTGGGAGAACCATGTGGATTTGTGCCAGAGCAGGCAGTAGACGTAAGATTCTGCTCTATGCGCTGATAATTCTTTATCTGAGTAGGAACTGGAATTGGTGCTGTTTCACTGTGAGGTGACACAGTAGGCGGACACTGCCTGCAACCACAATTTGTTGAAAAAGAAAGAAATTCAAATGAGACCATTTTTCTTTCATTTGACCCATTGGTGACACAGAAAATTTTAAAGGATGCCAAATGATCACTTCTATATGTAATCAGAAAAACGACCATATTACAAAAAATATATAAAGCAAAAAAAAATCTCATTTTCATTTAAAGAACTTTCCTGGCATTCATATACATATTGAGGACTAGGAATTTTAACAAGAACTGGAAAAACATTCCTCTACAACAAGAAAAGTAGGTAGGCAAAACTCAGTTTCATCTAGTCACATTCTGCTATTAATTATTATGTGAGAGAAAAACAGAATTTCTAGGGAAAAAGGCAGGGTAAATGAACAGGAAATTCAGAAGCAAGGATAACCAGACTATTTCCAAAAGTTATGAACGCAATACGCACCAAGGAACCCTGACTTTTATGAAGACAGAAAGTACACTGTGTAACTCTCAAAGCATGGAACTGATTTGAGCTCCAAATTTTTAAGTGTTAGTGTTTGATTTCTTAATAGCCTCTTCCCTTGATTTTCATAAATTCAGAAACAGTATGTCCTTAGATGACTTTCAATTAATTTACAACATACCTTGAAACATCAAGAATAAAACAAGGCCTTAACAAAGATGACTTATTTCATTATTCTGCCCTGTATAGTTCTAAAAAAGTCACAGGAATCTCCCACTTTCTCCCAATTACATTACAGATATAAACAGATTATATAGCTATCTAAACAAAACTATGATTATCCATTACTGTGTCACTATAGAACTTTTTAAACCATTAGAGTTCTTTATATTTAAATCAAAAGAAAATTTCATCTGTAGTCGAGATGTTAGTTGCTTTCCCAATAGCCACTCATCCATTCTCCCTTACTATCAGAACTCAAATTTTATGGAAGGTAGTAATTTGCCCAGTTAAATTATGACATATCCCAGACTTCCTTATAATACTGAGTAGTCAGAGGTCTTTCTTGGTCAATAAGATATAAGGCCAAGGTGTCCAACCTTTTGGCATTTCTGGGCCACAATGGAAGAAGTGTTGTCTTGGGCTGCACATTAAATACACAAACACTAAAGAAAACTGACCAAAAAAAAAGGTTTTAAGTAAATTTACAATTTTGTGTTGGGCTGTATTCATAGCCATCCTGGGCTGCACACGGCCCAAGGGTTGGACACTAAGGCTAAGTCTTTTATCCATTTTTCCTCCTACCCGAAACGTGAACATGTTTGATGAAGCTTCAGCAGCTATCTTGGAACCATGAAGAAAAGGCCAAAAAAATTAGAGAAAACTTCCTTGAGCCACAGAAAAGGCAACAACTATTTATCTTGACTTCTCTTCATGTACGGAAACAAAAGCTTTAGTGTTCAACGACACTATAGTCAGGACCCTGCTGTTTATAGTCAAGTGGAATTCCTGACTGATACACCATTCAAAATAGTTCTCACTATTTTTCACAACTTAATTCTATTATCTTTTAAATACAATGATTTATTTGTTTTTTAATATCTATACATCTGATTGTAAAGTTTACCTATAAACTAAAAGCGAAACAAAACACTTCTGCTTCTCAAAACTAAACAGCTTTACAAGACTTTACTAAACAACTCTGGAGTCTGCAACCCAGTGCGCATACAGGCTGACTGCCCGAGTTGCTCAAGAACAGAATAACCAACACAGTCATCAAGTAGCAGCAGGTGAATGAACAAATGCCATCTTTCTACTGTCTCAGCTTAGTAAATACATAATCAGCTAGTAAAGCATGTACATCTCAAAATTTTTATTTATTTTTAAATATTTTTATTGAATTTATTGGGGTGACATTGGTTAATGAAATTATATCAGTTTCAAGTGTGCAGTTCAATAATATATCATCTGTATATTATATTGTATGTTCATCACCCAAAGTCAGGTCTCCTTCTGGCACCATTTAACTCCTCTTTACCCTGTTCTAAATGTTCCCACCATACTGTTGTCTGCGTCTATGAGGATTTGTTTTTTCTTCTGTTTAATCCCATCACCCTTTTCACCCAGCCCTCAATCCCCAACCCCCACCCCTCTGACAGCTGCCAGTCTATTGTATCTATTAGCCTGTTTCTATTTTGTTCATTAGATTCCACCTCTAAGTGAGACCATATGATATTTGTCTTTCACTGGCTAGCTTATTTCACTTAGCACAATACTCTCCAAGTCCATCCATGCTGTTGGAAAATATAAGATTACCTTCTTTTTTTATAGCCACATAGTATTCCATTGTGTAAATGTACCACAGCTGTTTTATCCACTTATCTACTGATAGACACTTGGGCTCTTTCCAGATCTTGGCTATTATAAATAGTGCTGCAATGAACATAAGGGTGCATATATTCTTTTTGAATTAGTGATTGGGTTTATTCAGATATATTCCCAGAAGTGGAATCGCTGGGTCATAATGTAGTTCCATTTTTAATTTTTTGAGGAAATACCTTCCTGTTCTCCATGGTGGCTGCACCAGTCTGCATTCCCACCAACAGTGCGTGCAGGTTTCCTTTTCGCCACATAATTGCCAACACCTGTTGTTTGTTGATTTATTGATAATAGCCATTCTGATAGGTGTGAGGTAATATCTCATTGTGGTTTTTATTTGTATCTCTGGTGACTAGTGACATTAAGCATCTTTTAATTAGGATTTTTTTTAACTTTTACATTGTCAGGTTCTAAAATCTTCCTGATAATCACCAAAGGGAACTTAAGAAGCTGGATAAAGATACTCTAAGATCTAAACTTAGCAACTTCATAATTTAAGGCATCTGTCTCAGGGAATCCCAAGCAACCAGCTGGCTTCTCTAATAACTCTGGTTCCTACCTTTCCAGCATACCAGGAGATGAAAGCCATGGCACATGTTCTGTAATGTCTCAGTTACTGAACAGCACCTTTGAGTAGACTTGCTCAGTCTAAAGTCTTCCCTGGACAAATCCCCAGAGTTCCAGCTATCAAAGACCACTGCAGTTACTTTTCTGTCTAGCTTTACATTAACACCAATATTTAACCATTACCCAACTCCCTAGCCCAACATGAAGAGAGAGAACACCTATCTATGTAAGCCCTAAGTTTCCAGCTGGTCCTCACTTCCACTAGGTCCTGTAGTTCAAGGATTCTCTATGTGAAAAGTCATCTTTGACCCACATGGAATACCAGGAAAACTAAGCAGTCTGTTGAAAGTGTAACACAATCATATGTCATTCTATCTACTCTCACAAATGCTGAGAGAGAGAGAGCAAAAATGCAAATGGACAAAAAAAGATGAGGAGATTTCATGACCATGTCTTCAAATTCACAACCTGTACAACAGCAGATTCCTAATTGTCCCTCTCCATTTTAGAAAGACTCCATGAAAAAAAACCCAAGGGGTTAAGTGATCAGGATGGCACTAATACAGCTAGAATATAATACCATGGACAAAAAGAAGAGGGAAGGGAAGGATCTATGCAACAAGAGTTCCCAGGAAGTCCAATCTCTGCAATCAAGTGCCAAGCCAGAGCTGTCAGCTCATCCTCACAGGGCTGTGGCTAAGGGAATAGGAGTAAAAGAGAAGTAACTGCCTAGGCTGGTAAACAAGCCCATAGCTTCAGGTGAAAAGCAAGTGCCAAACCCATTAAGTAAGGGGCTAGTGTCTGTAGGGCCACAAATATAGGAATCCATTAGAGATGACTCACTTTAATGCACCCTGTGTTGTGCACACATTGGGCCTCCATCAAAATTCTTATATACTAAAACTAAAAACAAAAGGGAGGGAGGGAGAGTAACAACAACAAAAATTTTAAAAAACAAAAATTGTTTAATTAAAAAAATTCTGACCCTGGCTGGCGTGGTTCAATGACTTGAGTAACGGCCTGTAAACCAAAGGGTCTCTGGTTCAATTCCCAGTCATGGCACATGCAGATTGGGCCAGGTCCTCAGTGGGGGCACATGCGTGCAAGAGGCAACCATGCACTGATGTTTCTCTCCCTCTTTCTCCCTCCTTTCCCCTCTCTAAAAATAAATAAATAAAATCTTCAAAAAAGGATTCTGATATCCTAACTCCTATGCCTGTGTCTGCATTTCTGTCTGTATGCACAAGGAATAGATATCCCACTCCCTTCACATACTGAAGGCTGTCATATGGGTAGTGAAACACTGAGAAGTGTTTCTTTAGGTGAAAATGCACTTATTAGTGAAAAAAGTTCAAGAATTATACTTTAGGAAGAGAAGCTGAGAAAGGAGGCAAAGGCAACTCAAGAAGAAAAAATGGCAGCAAATCAAAAGTGAAAACCTGGAAATATGAGGCCTGTCTGAAAAAAGTCCAGCCATTGTTAATATAATGAGAACGGTGTACATGGCATCTATGTATCCTGGCAGCCAAACAGAGTAGACTGGGATGCACATGCATGAACAATGACAACTTCACTGTAGTAGTCAGTGGAGGCAGTAGGTGACATTGAGTGAGCACATGTACCATGTGGCCATCACATTCAAAATGACTGAGCAAATAGAGCAATGAATCTAAATCAAATTTTGCATTAAGCCTGAACATTCCTCTTTGGAAACTATTCAGATGATTCAGAAGGCCACAGCCATGGGAAACTGACATTTGGTAGCTTCATCATGACAATGAGCCCACTCATGCATCTCATCTTGTGCAGAGGTTTTTGGTGAAACATCAAATCATCCAGGTGACTCTGGCCCACTACAGGCCAGATTTAGCACCCTTCGACCTCTGGCATTTCCCAAAACTAAAATCACCTTTGAAAGGAAAGAGATTTCAGACTGTCGATGACATTCAGGAAAAATGCGATGGGACACCTGATGGTGATTGACAGAACTGTGTGAGGTCCCAAGGTGCCTATTTTGAAGGGGACTGAGGCATCATATATAATTATCATACTTAATTATATCCTTAGCTCTGGCTAGTGTGGCTCAGTGGACTGAGTGCCAGCCTGTGAATCAAAAGGTTGCCAGTTCAATT